TATTAAATGGTACAGGTCAGTCGCATCTTATGTGGGGGTTACGTTCTAAAGTCAGTGCGTAAGGCAAAAATCGCGTATAGACAAATCGTGTATTATCGTGCCAGCGATTTGACTAGCAGTGAGTGCCTCTGCCTCCAAAACCTCCCGCCGCCGCCGCAGAGCCATGCTTAGAGCTGTGCGGCCAGCAGCAGCCGCACAGTGCGGGGTGGTGGTGGGGATGGCCGCGTGCCTCCCGGCCACCACCACGCTGCCACCCAGCAGCCAGCCACACAGCTCCGGGCACGGTTCCATGGCGGTGGTGCGAGATTTTGGAGGCAGAGGCAGTCACCTCTGGCAGCATGGTGGTGGCCAGGCCTCCAGGTAAGCGGTAGTGCCATGTGCAGACTCAAGCTCCGCCCCCCCCTCCCACCCCGCATATAGTTGAATTGTGCAAGTTAAATGCACGTATGATATGACTGACCTGTATATTCTAGTTTACACACACAGGCATTCTATAGATTGCATGCGCACATACATTATATGTATTGTGTTATGAAGTACTAAAAGAGCTACAACCACATTAAGTGTTTGTACTAAACTGAAGATTTTTTGCCTCTAGGGCTAAGTACAGACAGTCAAAAAGCCCAAGACTGAATCATTTCAGTCTTTGCAGGTTAGTCTAAGCTGCAGAGATTAAACTTCGAAACAACTGGACAGACATTCATTTTTGATTCAGGAAATACTTGCAGTGGCTCACGCTAGAGGCTGGGGGTCACCAGAGCATGGCTGTCTGGCAGATAGCCAGCATGGGCTGTGTGTTTTCTTCCTCTTCCTGTTGCCTTTGAGGTTTCTGGGATTTGCAGTTCAGACTGCAACAGCTCAACTCTGCAAGGTTGCTCATCACTTCCTCTTCCTACTTCCAGGTGCTTCTGGGATGTGTAGTCTACAGTTGCAGCCAGCAATAAGTTTTTAGCAGGGCAGGGCAGGGCAGCTCTGTACTCAGGGGAAGGGAAGTTTAACCCCTCTTCCTGCCCCAGACCCCAGCTGGGGTTTGCCTGCTGGGCAGTCCCTGCCTCCCCCTTGTGCCCCTCCTATGTCCAAACCCTTCTCTGCTGGAACAGACAGCTCAGCCCAGCCCAGGGCTGGAAAGCATGCTGGGGGCCTGTGATTTAACTTGAACCAGGAAGGGATCTTGGACAGAAGTTTCATAAACTAGTTTGACCCAAATCAGTTAAGTCTGATACTACATTCAACCAGGTTTATCTTAAACCAGTTTCAGCCATTTTGAAACTGATGCAGTGAACTTCTGTTCCGTTACAGGTTTAAACCAGTTTCTGATTGCTTAAATTGGTTTATAGGGTCATCTATAACTTTGTCAGAAGCCAGTGTTGTGCAACTTTGGAGGTAGCCAGGCGAGAAGTCTCTGACATGATCTTTGCTGCTCTCAGGTGGGAATGTAGAGTTGCAGGGCAGCTGTACAGTCTACTTACCCTCATGGACTGAGAGCAGCAAAGCAACAGGCAGCAAAAATGCTGTACTCTGTTGCAGTGGTACACATGACAGACCATGATCAGGCCCAGTATTTTGTGTAGGTATTGCAGCACAGTAAGAGAATAAACCCAAGTGAGACCTTGGCATTCCCAGCCCTGACAGGATGCATTATATATGTGGTAGCCCTCACTGTCCACTGTCTTCTCTTTGTGTAGTCATTAATACCTATGTAAAGTGAAATTAAGCAACAGCTAGAGTGATAGCTTAACTCCAATTGGCATTCATTCTACAAAGGTGCACATGACTATATAAGAGACGAAACTTTATAGAATCATAATGATGCACCAGAATAATTCCATTGACTTCAGTGGAGTTACACTGGGCATAAATTGGTATAAGTAAGAGGAAAACCTAGCCCTAAGGGACAAGACAGAAGGAGTTTTAACTTGCTGGTTTGTCAGATCTTTAATCCCATTTTAAAGTAGGAAATATTTTTAAGAATTCAAATGAAATAATCTGCAGTATAAATTCAGTTGTTACAATAGAATATGAATGTATGGGTATTACACTGCATTTCTGTTTCTACTGACAGTGTATTGGGTATGTTGGTCCTCTGGAGTTGCTATGCTGTTAATATCTATATTTTGTTAAATCTCTTGTCCTCATAAATACAGAAAAAAACTGTTGCAAAGGTTTATCAGGGTTTTGTAGAGCTTTAATACAATACAAGGGTTGCAGCCATACATTGTGACATCTCCTGTTGTATGATTTCAGCACTGCAAACAAAATATTATAGAGTCTTCCCAGCTTTAGATGGGTTTTTACTCTGCTATCACCTTTTTGTATAGTACATAAAATATTGTACAGACAACCCCCTGAAACCTGCTAAAACACTGCTCTTTGCTGGTTTGCAACTTTGCCCTTGTTGCTCATTTATTGATAGTTGTATTTCATGACCCAGACACTGGGAAGGAAAAAGAGAGTGAGAGATGCAAACCTCTTTTCTTTTTATCTTAAGTTATGCCCCCCTGCAAAAGAGTTGTTGAAATTGTGTGTCCTTGTTTTGGTGCATTTTCCCTCCTTTCCCCCTTGCACCCACCTTTTTATAACATGGTAGCATCTTGGGAATACTGTTTTTCAATTAATTATGTCTTAACATACAAACAAGTATGTTGAGAACAGAGGGGGGGAAAGGTTTTTGGTTTTTGGGGGGTTTTTTAAGATCTCTGTATAATTCCCATTGAATTTGAGCCAAAAGTGTTGCCAGTTTTGCTCAAATCTTTCAGAGATTTGTTTTGACCCTGCTTATGACCAGTGGGGTTAATTGTATTAGAACTATCCAGGAGACTTTAAGAAAGTGCTATCTTAGTCCATATTTCAAAACACTGACAGATATTTTATCATTAATTAGTATTCATATTATGTCTCAAACAATCTGTTCAAGAACAGGGGAAGTGAACTGGTTGAACAGCTCTTCTGTCTATCTAGTAATTAACATGGTGATGCATGTAAAGCCAGGGGCCTAGCAGGGGAAGAAGGAGAAATAATGCTGGGGAGATTTTTCTATAGAAGAATATAAATTACCTGCCCTGGAGGCTTTGCCTTCTCCTAAGATTTAACTTAGTAAAGGTGAGAACAAAGGGCTCTTTTAAAAAATAAACCTGTGCCCCTCTGAATCATATATTTCTAGATTTGCTTCTCATCTTGTCAATATGCCACTTGATAGCTGGCTGAACTCCCTTGTTCAATGGCACATATTTTAAAATAGCACTTTTTTGAGGAAGACCATTTGTTCTTTTTAACCAAAATTTTGCTTGCATTTTCTTTTTTTTAAAGTTAGGGTTATATATAGCATTATCAAAACAATATTTCAGATATCTTAAACAATTTAAAAAGATAGTTGATGGGTGTCAGTTAATCTATTATGCTTCCTCTCTGCCTCCTCCCCCTCTTCAGCTGCTAATCATAGAACTTGTATGCCAAATTGTGTAAGATACTCTTCCAATAGTTACATGTGTGAGTCTTTTGTGAGACAGAGACAGTTATGAGGACAGATTTGGAGTTGCATATGGGTCTGTCACATGGTTTGATTGCTGTGTCTTCCAGGACACAGATTTCTTTTTTACTTAGCCTTCTGAGGATTTTATGCAGCTTATACCAAAAGTTCCGCACAGTTTCTCATAAAGGCTTCTTGCACAGTCCATTTTCCCCCTCTCTACTTGCAGCAATATGCTTTTTCGGCTCACTTCAACACTGCTTACACCCACTGTACATCCCACTTCTCTATTCATTTTCTCTCTTGATATGCAGTAACATTTACTGTTTGCTGTTCAAAAAATGCATAGAATTTTTTGGTACAGAAGAAGAATGTGATAGATCGTCATATTTATCTTAAGATTTTGTAATAAGTTTTTAAGATGTCTGGATAATAGGAACCCAAGGTTCCTACTCTTAGCTGTGCTAGAGAGAATAAGTCCTTTCAAGTGTTGCCAGGTAAACTTCTCTAAAGCAAGCTAAAATAGCCACTTTGTAGCCCAAAAATAGCACACATTTGTGGCATATGCCCCATATGAACATTATATCTGGCAAGTAGTGAGAGCTTTTGAAGTATTCTAGTTGATTTCTGAATGATTATTAAACTATCTCCGTAAGCCCCAGTAACACGCTTCAGTTTATTTTTGGTCTGCAATTTCATATTCCTTTGTGGTTGGTCATGATGAATTCTATTATCTAGTTAAGTTGTATTTTATGATTTTAGGTTATGCCAAGGACACCAATCCTATTATAGATTGAACATTTTACTGTTTGTATAAGCCTAAATAAATTAAAATTAAAAGCAGCAGCAAACCAAAGTCAAACGTAAACTATTATAAGAGTACAACAAAAAAAATCAAAGATTAAACATTATAAAATATACCAAATCACAACTCTGATTAAATTCATGGAAAACATATTTGAGCTGTGGCATGTTATAGCAAAAGTAACAAACCTTAAAGTAAAGCATAGTTATTTTTTTCCAGAGTGTGCACTGCAGGGAATAATGACCTTGGCATGCCTGCCTTAAAGTTATAAAAAATACTGTTGTCTGTATATTGTAAGAGTAGAAAGTTCCACTTTTTTCTGTATACCTGAGTTGACAGACTGTAAACAAATTTACTTGGAACTTTACACAAAACCTTTCAGTAGTTCCAGGGAAATATTGTGACATTGTGAAAGGTTAAATTTACATATTTCTAGACTTACCTCATCAGTTCACAGCTGATTCATTTGAAGACGATTATGTACATTTGACCATCCATGTATTAACTCTTAGGTTGAGGTTTATTGCAATGCCGTACGTACATTTAGAGAGTAACTAAATCTCTGTCAAAAGTGACCTTTAGATTGGCATACTTGCTTCATTTGTAGCAAAGTCAAATATGGTTGTGCAAGGGAATATCTAGAAAAGAGGGAAATACTTCTTTCCAACCTCTTCTTCTCCATCCACTCCCCAGCAGTTCTAATTTTTTTCTCTTTATCTTATCTTCTAGATTGGAGATGTTCTCTACTGTGCTGGACAGATTGCACTAGTACCTTGTACTATGCAGCTTGTAAATGGTGGCATACAGACTGAGGCCACAGTCTCCCTACGTCATGTTGAGAAAGTCCTTAAAGCTATGAGTCACAATACTGAACTCCAGCACGTCCTTATGGCAAACTGTTATGTAACTGACAACAAATACATTCCTGTTGCTTGTGCTATATGGGAAAAGAAATTAAAAGAAGACAAAAAGGTATCTGTAATACGCATTTTCTTCTTTCAAGTTTTTTAAATGATTTATGAAAAGGGTTTTCAAAGTCTTGAGGTAATATCGGAATTTTCTCAGTGCATTTCGGTGGGGTTCAAGTAAAACTGATATAATAAGGTTTGATTGAGCTGTTATGTTCTGGCTCATAAGTGGCTGTGCACAATTGAGAAAGAAAGAAAATTGCTTAATAGAAAGTTATATTCATCACTAACTTTCTCTTAATTCCCCAAAGCAATAAGTTACAGAATTCTTTAAGAGCAGCCTATTCCTCCAGGCAAAATGTGAACAATATTATATTTGAAATAGCTCTACCTATATATTTCCTGTAAAAGGGTTAGAGGTGGGCAGTTTATCTTAACTTTTCATGAATTATTCTGTTGTCTGTCTTCCTTTCTTTCTTTCTTTCTTTCCTCCTGCCCCAGTCCCCTCTAAGACAGCTGGTGCCCCGAGTGCTGGTGCCCCACTGGGTGGGGCGACTGTGGCTCCCTCTCAGCCTCCCTCCACCCTCCCCCAGCCTGATGGGGCTGCCCCCCAGTGCGGGGGTTTCACCTGGTGGAGGGGCTTGGATGTCCTCCCAGTCCCCCCGTCCTAGTTCCACCCAGAGTGGGTAGCGTCTTAGGTGCTGGAGCCCCATCGGGTGGAACAACTGAGACCTTCCTTCCACCTTCCTCCACCCCTGCCTTAGTTGAGGTGGTGGACCCGGAGGTGGCAAACCCCAAGCAGCCTAGTCCGCCCCCTGCTGTGGGGGGGCTTGCCTTGGGCAGGGCCCCGGGCCTTGACAGACTGCCTATGGAATTTTATAAAGCCTTCTGTCCCCTCCTTGGGCCCAGCCTCCTCCGTGTCTTCCACGATTGCCTCGCCGATGGGACCCTGCCGACCAACTGCCACCGGGCAGTGCTCACCTTGCTGCTCAAGAAGGGGGACCTCGGCTGCCTTAAGAACTGGCAATCCGTCTCCCTTCTGTGCGCCGACTATAAGTTCCTGGCGAAGGCACTGGCGAACCGTCTCCGCACTGTCATGGTCTCCGTCATTGGGCCCGAGCAGAGCTACTGTGTGCCGGGCAGGACCATCCAGGACAACCTGTTTCTGCTGCGTGACCTGCTCATGGCTGCGGAGCATTTTGGCCTGGATGTCAGCTTGGTCTCCCTGGACCAGGAGAAGGCCTTCGATTGCATTGACCACCGGTACCTGCTCGGCACCCTCGAGGCTTTTGGCTTCGGGCCTCTTTTCATCACGGCGCTCCAGGTCCTGTACCATGACTCCTCCAGCCTGCTCAAGTTGAACAGTGTGCTGTGTTCCCAATTCCCGGTGCATCGCGGTATATGCCAGTGCTGCCCCCTCTTGGGCATGCTGTATGCCCTGGCCATCAAACTGCTGCTGCAAGCTCTGAGACGTCACCTGACCAGCTTAGCCCTGCCACCGGCATCAGGCCTGACCCTTGGCCCCCCGATCCAGCTGATGGCATGCTCGGATGATGTGACAGTCTTCCTGGGCAACCAGGAGGATGTGTGGGTCCTGGTGTACTGCCAACGGACCTACGAACTCGCCACGTCAGCCTGCATCAACTGGGGCAAGAGTGATACACTCCTGCTCGGGACATGGGCCAGCAAACCACCTCCAGACCTGCCAGGGGGCCTCGCCTGGCTCCGGGAAGGCCTCAAAGCCCTGGAAGTATTCCTGGGGCCGCCGGCCTTTGCAGCCCGCAACTGGAGGACCTGGCGGAGGGAATGGAGGCCTACCTGCGCTTGCCCGCCCTTTCCTACCATGGCCGGGTCCTCATCACCAACAACCTGGCGGCGGCGACCCTGTGGCACCGCTGCGTTGTGCTGGACCCTCCACCGGAGCTACTCAGGAGACTGCAGCGGCTCCTATCGGACTTCCTCTGGGACAGACAAGCTTCCCTTTACCTGCCCACTAGCGAGGGGGGCCAGGGCCTGATTGACCTGGCCAGAAGGTGGCTGCCTCCCGCCTGCAAGCCCTCCAGCGGCTCCTGTATGCCGAAGGCCACCTCCCATGGTGGCAGCTCGCGTGCTGGTTCCTGCAGCGACTGGGGGGCCTTGGCTTTGACCAGGAGCCCTTTATGCTGGACATTACCTTCCTGAACGGGGCGGTCCTTCCCCCGTTCTACCGCAATATGGTGCAGGCCTGGCGGGCTACCTTCCATCTCTGTCCCCAAGCCAGGCTCCTGCAATTCCTGCAACTGCTTCAGGAGCCCCTGGTACACAACCCAGCCCTGCAGCATGTCGTGCCGAGCCTGGCCTCCGCCAGCCTCGTGGCTGCGCTCATCGAGGCGCACACCACCCACCTGGAGCACCTCCTGGACCCTGCTCAGTTGGGCTGGCTGTCAGCTGAAGCCCTGGCTGCCCGGCTGGCACTGCGCTCCATCCGCACTGCGGGCCGGCTTCTATGGGCCATCAGGGCCACCCTCCCAACAGAAGCAGTGACCA